GAGGAGCGCTCATCGGTTTGAGACGGCGAAGCAAAACAGGGCGTGGCCAGCTGGAGGACACTCTCTGTGAGGGAGTCGATCAGCGGGCAGCATGATGAGGAATCGTCAATCATAAGACGACTGAAAGGAGGAAAGTAGCTGATCTCCTCCAAAAAGGTGCTTGGAGTCGACGGTTTGTAATTGAGCTGGAGATGAGTAGGAGAGAGGGGAAGTGAGAAATGAAAAAAATAAAGTTTTCGGGAAAAACCAGTTATGGAAGCACAAAGTGTTGGTGCTTTATCGCCAAAGCGGCCAGATGCTAGCAAGGTAAAATGACTGGCCATGGTGTTTCGGCAATGCCATTCAACGTTCGAGGATTTACAGCATCATAGTAGGAATTAATACGGTCCGCTAAACCGCCATAGGCAAACTAACTTAAGCGTTTTTAAGGGTTACTATCAGGCAGATGCATGAGGACTGGAGATCAGGCGAGTACAGACGTTGAGATTTTGAAATAAATGCTACTGCCCTCAAATTATTCGCGGTTCTTTACAGACTTTGAGCGTAATTCTCAAATTGAGCCGTTATTTTTTTCCTTCCTCCATCCGCATGTAAATTTTCTTCTATATACGCGCTCTGAAAGCAGTTCAATTTAGCCTATATTTGACGAATTTTCCAAGGACATTTGCGCAGGATGTCGGAAATTGCAGTCATTGACGACTATGGATTGCCTTTGGTTTCCCGGTGTTGTGAGTTTGAGTGCCTAATTTTAGTCCTTGTGAATGGAGGACATTTCGTTCTGAAACTTTTGGAATTATAGTTTCAAAATAAAGCGTACATTTCTCTTGGAATGTCCAATGATAGAAAAGTATAAATGTGGAGACTAATTTTCAACAAAACTGCAAGGGCGTTTCTATCTATTTTTAACGCTAACGTCAAAAATGGAGGATTTCACCACTTCATCCGTAGGTTGAATACTTCAAGCTGGTTCAAAAAAAACTTTTTAAAAACACCAAGTCGGAAGGACTGCTTCGTTGATACTTGTAAAAATAGTATAACTGTACGTTGTGTATAAAAGAATATAAATAACTTTATTTAAAACGCAAATAGGGAACACTACTGACAATAGTGAAAAGACCACTGCGATTCTTTCAAATTTTAGACCTGAATAGATGCTAAGACACAATGGAGGCCTTCATGGTAGATTCTGCTGAGATGGGATTAACGCAACTTCAAATAATATTTATTCAAATGATCTTAGACGCTCGGGAGCAAGCAAGTAATTCGAAAACTTCTTTCTCCAGGCGCTAGTCAGCGCCGGGGCTTACCTGTCCGCTACATTCAAATTAACCTACTCCACCAGGCCACATCAAAGGTAAAAAAGGGTAGTCACCTGGCAGGGAGAGAGAGTGTTTAGGATGGCCTGTCTGCTAGTCACTACAACAAAACTTTATGAGACAGCGACAAACATGCACCGCTGTCAGGCAGAGGGGCAAATTTGGCATGGAATAAGAAAGGCCCAGATGGGCCGTTCTAACAGAATACCTACCCGATCAGCAGCAGGTTTTCGGTCAATCTTCTCCTTATCTGTCCTGTTCTTCCTCTCAGCCCCCTTGGTTTTGAAGACTTTCACCTGACAGGCAGCAGAGTAGATGTGAGTGTGATCGGCCTCTCGGAAGGAGTCCACCTGCAAAAAAAGGAAGGGCGAAATATACAGGCAACTGCATTAAAATTAGGAACAAAACATTCTAAAGGGCAGACGATTCCACTCCCTCAACTAGCACAATCACAATCTCTTCAACAATTAGCCTCATTGACAGAGTCAACTGCAAAATTGGCTCTCGGTCGTCCAGTCAATACAACACTTATGACAACAAGATAGGATGACACTGGACGGGTTAGAGAAAATGGCTTATTAAACATGTTTGCCGATATAAATTACGCTTGTCAGTTAATGACAGGTCGGACATCCACAGGAAACGGAGATCTTAAAACCATAGTAAAAGCGCCCAATCACCTTAGGTTTGATAATAGTGCACAGAAAAAGAAAGCTGTTTTGGCTGAAAGTCATTTGATAGATGAACATTGCCGGCAAAGACAAAAGAGAGACTGGAATGACCCATTAGCCGTCACCAACAAGTCATACCCAAGTTAGAACAGGACGAGTGAGTTCCCTTAGCAGTCGATGAGCGTCCATCGACGAAAGTCGAGACAACGAGCTCGTGGCCCAATGGTTAGGGGGTTTGACTTTGACCAAGAAAGGTCGGGAGTTTGAGACTCGGGTGGGACACCACTTGGGTCTGGGTATGACTGGCTGACGACAGCTAATAAGCCAGAAATGGCCATTCCAGTCCCCCTGGTCTTTGCCGGCAATACTATCTGCCCACTACTACCAGAAAGTCATTTTATAATCAAAACATGAAACGAAGTTTGGGGACAGTAAAATTTGGCCACTGATGAAACGGTTGACGTTGCAAATAAAATTGCTTCTCTTAGATCATATAGACACACCCTCCCTAACCGTTCATATACACAGGCCACGTGAGAGAGCACTCTGTTAGAACCCGCCTGATCTGATTGGTGAAGGTGGGCCGTAGGAACGGATGCTGTGATTTGAGGGTTCTAAACTGCCAAACACAGTGAGGGGTTAGGGCGTAAACTTTACCTGAATACGGAAGGGCACGCCCTTTTCTCCGCCGTGTTTTTTCGCCGTAAACTCTGTGCTGACGCAGAAGGCCTTCACCACGAGGGTACATTGGTCGGAGGAGTCCCAAATGCACACAACAGCGTTCAAATTGACTGGATCAGAGAAGGCATCCCGGCAACCGATACACTTGTCTGCCTCTTAATGAAGACACCAGCGGGGGAGAGAAGTGAGGAAGAAAGATCTTTTAGAAAAACGCACACAGGCAGCAAGAGAACCGAAAGGAGTGAATTAATAGGTGAAGTGAATAGACATATCGAGTGAGGGTGGGGAGAGCATTAAACAACACAAAACAAATTTTTATAAAATGGGGTACCTGTGCAGACTGAAATGGACAGCATGGAATATGTAGAATCCTCCGACAAGAAGTACTTATCTACACTGATGTATACTGGTAGTGTAAACATTATGCAAGCTTTCCACCGAAGCTGATACATCTCAGTTCAAGTATTCCTATCAACTCTCAGACCAGTCGATCCCTCTCCAGCCTCCGGTCTTGTTAAATTAGTCATGACGTCGGGCCGAGGTGGAGGGGGGAAGAGAATGCGGCGGCCCGTTGGCGGCGGTCAGAGGCGAGCTCTTCACAGATGTTAACCCATTGTTTGTTC